TATTCTTTGATGTATAGCCTGTTCATTTAAGAATATAAATCGCATTAACAAAATCCAATCGCCCTGATTACATGTTTGCCCTGGGTCTGTTCGCCCTGAGTTCATTCGCCCATAGAGTCCGTTTGCCTAGGGTCCGTTCCCCCTACTTCTATTAAAACATATTGTTTTATGGGTATTAAACTTTAAAAAACTTATTCAGATATTTATATGGTATAAATTCTGGAAATTTATGAAAACACATAGAAATATTTAAAAGTTGTTGGCTTAAGATTTGTTTTAGAGCATTAATTGTTCAAAATAATAATTCTCACTGATTGTTGTAATGGATTAATAATAAAAACAACATTTTATTTTGATAAACTAGCTATATAGTCAGCTTGGAATGAGTAAAAACAATGATGTACAAATTTTTAAACTTGAAAAAGATGTAAATTCATATTGTTATCAAATTGACTAACCAGAATTAATAAAATTGTTAACAAATATCAATAAGATAAGTACAATGTATTCCAGGGAAGTGCTGTTTTGCAGGTTGCAGGTCGCAGGTTGCGGGTTGCGGGTCACACATATAAATACTATATATGTAAAAAGGTCATATTAGGGGAATTAAAACATATAAAATCTACCCCATGACTGATAAATTTACAAATTATTTCTTACAGTACACATACTGTAGGGTAGAAGTATATTGTCTTTTTTTTTATCATAATCTTCAAATTCAATAATCATAATTTTAATACACATACATGTATCTTTTGATGCTTATCATACCGCTCAATTGCTATTAATAGTTCTAAACATTGATTCTAGTGAAGTTAAAGTAATAAAAACTTCAAATTAACATAGGCTGAACAGGTTCTATGGAACACATTAATCTGTCTTAATCTATAGTTACATAAACAATTAAATTCCTTTCAGTTGACATTCAACATCTTTGAGGCTAATATTAAGAAATTATAAGCTCTAGATAATTATATGCATTTTCTTGCATGAACATAATAAATTTAGTGCAAGAAACAAACAAAATAATTTGCTTCCCAATTCTGTTTTTATTTATGTAAAGACCCAAAACCTTGAGTCTGTTCTGTTGCAATTGTCCATTTACAATTTGTCTAATGATTTAATAGTAAAAAATGTATTTATTTTTTTAAGGAGGCGGACATCCTGTTTCTTAAGTATATACCTCCCCAAATTTCAAGCAGGGATAATATAAGCTCACCTGCATTCCATTTTCCATTTGCATTTATTTTGATTTTACATTAACAAGTCAAGGGAATAGAGTTAAACAATATGGAGTAAAGTTTTGAGAATTATAGTTAAGTTTTAAATGAATTCTTATTATTACAAAAACAATAAAAAAAAAAATTAAAAAAAATATGGCAAGAATTGTACCCACTTTCCATAAATATAATATTTCCCTGGGATTCAACTTTTTAAAATAAAGTTGATCGTCCACCATTTTAGAACTTGTCCGAGATATTGCTGATATCAACCTATATAATAGTACAAGTTTTATAAAAATCTGACAAGAATTGTACCCGTGAGATCGCTAACGAGGCCATTTTCCATATATTTAATATTTCTAAGGGCATAACTCTTTTCAAAAATGTCGATCGTTCACCATTTTCGAACCGGACGGACGGACAGACGGACGCCCGGTATTTCCATTTTCCCCCCGCAATGCGTTACGCGGTTGACAAAAAGATATCTTTCATAGCGTATAAACGCAGTCTTTTAAGACAAGACTTTTAAATAGGTCGACTTTTGAGACGGACCCTTGCTATGAATGCAATAGAACTAAAAAGCTAAAAAATCCAGAAACTTACATCTAGTTAAAAGGCAATAAGTCTTTTCCACTATTTAAAAACTGTGTCAAGTCTTGATGTTTTAGTATGTATGTTCTATGCATTTGTTGAAAGTTTTACCCAAATGTTTGTTAAGTTTTCTCTTTTCGAACAGAAAGTGTATGTATTAGATAAACCCTGAGGGTGTTAGACCAATTAAGTGCATTTACATCTCAAGATATTATGATTAATGTAAATTGATAGATTTCTATTTATAGGTGTAAGTTTATTTACACCGGAATTTTGTTTAATGTAATTGGATACCCTTCCTTTAACATTGATCATTAAAAATTGTGTAAATTAGATACACCCTCTCATGCTAATGCCCTCGTGGTATATCTAATACTTCAACCCGCAACCTGCAACCCGCAACCTGCATTTTAGACAATTTCTGTATTCCAGTATTCCACGCGCGACTATGGCTATGCAAATTAAAGGAAAATAATTTATATTTCATTTTTGGTTGCAGCAAATACAAATTTTCGGCAAATTTTTCAACAAACTTTAACATACTCTGTTCAAATAATAAACATTATGCAACTAGACTATAATAAAAAAAAAAAATATCAGAATGAAATTTGAAAAAAAAGGCAGGACAGGGGTTTGAGTAATAAAAAGGCATGATGAGAAAAAAAGTCAGGATAAACTAATGAACTAGTACACATTTTTGTTAAAGGGCCAGATGAAGCACGTCTCCGGGTGCGGAATTTCTCGCTATGTTGAAGACCCATTGGTGGCTTTTGACTGTTTTCTGCTCTTTGGTCGGGTTGTTGTCTCTTTGACACAATAATCCCCATATCCATTCTCAATTTTAATACAAAAAACTTAAAAAGGCAGGACCGAATAATCAGTAGAGTGAAAAATACAAAGGCTGCGGCTGAGGAAAGACATTACAACTAATAAAATGAAGAACAAAATTTTTCATCCTAGCCCCATAAAAATCAAATGGTGGTCCCTTATCAATACCTTTAACCCCTTCCCCCATCCCCCCCAACAAAAAATCCAGTCCCTCTTTAAACGTACATTGCTCTCACACTTGTTTTAACTAAATGATTACGATATATATATTGAAATCATTTCAACAACATGCTCCTGTCGTACTGACGTGTTTTCATTCAGCAAAGCTCTGCATGACCTGCATCTTCAAGGTCACAAAAAGTTTGTCTTTCTTGAACTGGTTTCCTGATTTATTTGGATAACAGACGCTTTTTCTATCGACACTGCCACTCTCTTGACTCTTGTAGATCGAACTTTAACAGATTGAAGGTCAGAATGTTTGTTCCGATTCCACAGACCTGTTACCTGTTAGGTGTGCTTTAGGGTGTGCTTGACTGGATTGTATTTTTATATGTTGTGTAGGACTTTTTGTAAACGATAATTGCTGGCATGGACATAATACTTGTAAGTAAGTTAAATTTTATAATGAAAATCTGTAATAGATAAAACTAATTAAAAGTCTGTGTTTTTTTTACAAAAATCTAGGCTTTACTTGCACAAAATCCCTATTTTCTATTGACCTATTCATCTACATCACAGGTATTTGGGACATGGACCCTCCTTATTGGGCCCCACTGTAAAAAAAAAATCTTTTTTTTTCCATATTTACAATTTTGTACAATGTATAGACATATAACCTGATAACAAGTCTCAACAATCCATTATTAGTCGATTACAATACCTTTTTTTACTATCAACACAAACCCCAAGTGAAAATGTAAAAATGCCTTGTCACTTTTATACTGTATGTATATAGCTGTTCTTTGAAATTTTTTAAATACATTGTTGGCGAGCCATCTTATGTCTTATTAATATTTACATGTACTTGGGACCTTTTAAATGTTCAAAACTGTTCTTAAAAGTAACCTGGAGAAATTTCTAGACACCATTCATTTAAGGTCAAAAGCCTTGTGACCTTAGGTTGAACCTCCTACTGGAGCCATCTTATGTCTTATTAATATTTACATGTACTTGGGACCTTTTAAATGTTCAAAACTGTTCTTAAAAGTAACCTGGAGAAATTTCTAGACACCATTCATTTAAGGTCAAAAGCCTTGTGACCTTAGGTTGAACCTCCTACTGGAGCCCCAGTGTATGAATGCATGTACATATCTTACTAAGGAGGTTGATCTTACATTAGAGTCGGTTGGGGTAATTCCGTACACTTTCGGTCCTAAATGAAAGTCATTTGGTTCCCTGTTTGATAAACAAGCGAAATGTAATATGTATTGTATTTACCTGCCTGTACGAAATTACCCTGATCGACTATAATCTTTATCATGTTTATAGATTAATCATTTATGCTAATTCTTTTTTTTTCATTAATAAAAAAATTCTGCAGATGATTAAGTATAATTTTATAACTTATATTTATTTCCAACAAACTAAGAATGTTTAAAATTTTTAAAATTCACAGAATCTAAATAACAAAATTTTAACTTCGCATTATTTGTTAAAGGGAGTCCCCCCACAGTATATACTCAGTTCATCATTATGGTAGGATCACATGTCCTTTGCATGCTGTGTTTATAGTATAATAGATTTATTATGTCTTGTCTATCTGAAGTTTGGTTAAACTGCCTACTGGGAAAAACATTATTACATGATTACATTCCCAATTACTACTATTAGTCAATTATGTGTGAAAAATTTCAATTTCATGGGTTTTAATCCCCCAGGATGTGAAACATCATAAGAATTTGTAGATATAAATGAAGAGATATGAAAATTTTATCCTCAGTTATGTGTCAGTCACTTAAAGACAATAAAAACATTAATTTAGGGTAATAAATATTCCTAAAAAAAATGAACATTGAGAAGTTCTCATTCTGACACATCATCATTTCAATGATCAATTAAATCATCTTTTATTAGGGAGCTAACCATTTGATTTTTATGGGTGGGCTAGGATTAAAAATTTTGTCCTGCATTCTTTTTAGTTGTAATCTCTGTCCTGCCTTTTTATTTTTATCAATTTATCCTGACTTTTTTTTACATAAGTTGTCTTCCTGCCTTTTTTTTTTTTGCCAAGTTGCTCATCCTAACTTTTTATTTTACCCAAAACTCCTGTCCTGCCTTTTTTTTTTAAATTTCATTCTAGCCCCCCCCCCCCCCCCCCCCCCCCCCCCCCCCAGGGTGCAAAATTTCAGGGGGAGGGTGCAGAGCCTCTATATTTACTGCTGTCCTGGATACTGATTTGTAAACATGTAAAAATAAGGCGGCTAATGCCCTCATGTATCATCAACAAAGATAGTGACAATTAAATGAATAATTTTATTTCCTTTTTGCAATTTCTCATTGATGTGATGTAAATTTTCTGTTAGAAAGTCACACGATTCTGTATCTATACTAGTATGACAGTTTGCCTAAGTTTCACAAGACTGTTTTATCTTATTTTTGCAGAAATTTTTTTTTCTAGGTGTATACAACTGTGCAAGTATTGAACATCGCAGCTTGAAATTTATGCAATGTGACCTAAAAGACAACATAATAATGGACTGATGTAAGTATTTGGTAATATAATAATAGTTAAAGATATGGGGAATGAAAGATATGGGGAATGTATGAAACTGTTTGAAAAAGTCCACATATAATACACTCCTTGAAAGTAGATTTTTATCTTTTTTACTGTTCTGCTAAATGAGGGTTTGGATGACTGAGGGGGTCCTTTATGTCTTTATTCTTTAAATATTAGACCATTTTCCTCTCTATTCAATATTTATTTTGCCCATTAATTATATTATCTCTATTCACTATATTTGTGTGCCCCATTATTCAATATTCTGTATTATTTTTGCAATTGTTTCTCTATTCTTTATTTGTTTGCCCTTTATTCTGCACTTTTTTGTCAATTATTCTCTATTCTGTAAACCCCATCCATACTCTCCATTATAATATATATATTCCACTATTCATTCCAATGAAAAGGTAAAATAAGTTTTATGTTGTCCATATTCTAAATTGTTCTCTGATAATACTATTAGTTACATAGTGTGCTAGTGACCTAATACGGTATATATGGGGTCAGTAAGTTCCATATGGGGTGAGAGCGAAGCTCGAATCCCCATATGGTATTTACTGAACCCATATACCGTATTACGTCACTAGCACACTATGTAACAAATTTATCTTACCGACTATCTTAACATGTGGTATTTAGACTAGTGACCTATCAAAGTGAGCAAGCCTTCAATACCGTTAGCATTAAGAAACTACTTCCATTGGTCATACAAAAAAAAAATGCCAACAATAACAACTTGTTAGCTTTAAATGTGTTTTATGAATTTATTTCAATCTTTCATCATCAATTTGTTCGTCTGTTGAAACCTTTAAGATTTTTTCTCAGTACTGCTTTGTTTTTATAAAGGGACGTAACACCACTACTAACCGTGTATTGAAATAAGCCCCGCCTACTAACCCAATATGGAATATACATGGTCTCCCGCGGTTGCTTTTAGCCAATCATATTCCTAGAAATGTATATATATATAGGAGGTAAGATAAATATATATATACCAGCATATAAAATTTGATTTCTGAGAATCACAAGAAATATCTTTTATGGTTTTGATCTATATATATATATGGAAATTTGGTAAAATAGATTATAAAAAAAATGAAACAACACAACACAAATATAAACAAAAGACTTCTATGTAAACATGAATAATTTAAATTATGATCTTTCAATAGTATTTTAAACTTTAAGTGTATAACTCTATATGCCCCCCCCCCCCCCGCAATTAAAAGTTGGGGGGGGGGGGGGGGGGGGGGGGGGGCATATTATTTTACCCCTGTCCGTCCGTTCGTCTGTCCCATTATGGGTATATAGTTATTCCAGATAACTTCTCCTACAGTTTGAATGCTAGGAAGATTTCACTTTGCTGGCGGTTTGTACATATATTGAAGATGTGCATGTGGTCAGGGTTTTGATTTTTATTGATATTTGCTCTTTTGCGAGATATTAAGTTGAACTTTGTCATTTTTGGAGTATTTACTTGCATAAGAGGTGCATAGTTTTTCAGGATCATTCCTCCTACAGCTTGAAATGAAATGGCACCTACCTCAAAAACTTCATTTTAATGAGAAATAATTCAAATTTGAAGCATACTAGTAGTGAAATAATCTTTCCCTTTTAAGTTTTCATTTGTATGACGACGTGTTTTGCCATGATGTAAAATCGCTAAATCATTCATGAAATTTCACGGAATTTTATTTAAATCTTAATTTTATACATTTTAGAAGCTTTTTAATGCATTATTTCTTTTTTGTTAAATATGCATTGAATAGAAACAAATTTTACGTATTTGTTTTTCAATCTCAATTTGCTGAAAATCCCGGGATCTCTGCATGCATGTGCATCGCGCATGAATAGATCACAGTGAAGGTTACGAAAGTAGTTTCGGAAACATGGTTTATCAAGTGTAAACCAAGGAAAAAAATCTAATTCACCAATCCAATTCAAGTATTTATAGATATGCAAATCATATAAGAATTATTGCCCTTTAAAGACAATTTTACACAATTTGTTCATCATGTTTGCTTACATTTAAAAATCTTCTGCTCTGAAACAACTGGGCCGAATACTTCTAAACTTTACCTGAATGTTCCTTAAGGTATCTAGTTTATAAATTGTATCCGAAGTTTTGATCCATCAACAAACATGGCTGCCATGGCTAAAAATAGAACATAGGGGTCAAATGCAGTTTTTGGCTTATACCTCAAAAACTAAAGCATTTAGAGCGAATCTGACATGGGGTAAAAATGTTCAATAGGTGAAATCTATCAGCCCTGAAATTTTCAGCCGAACAGAACAATCAATTGTTAGGTTGCTGCCACTAAATTGGTAATTTAAAGGAAATTTTGTAGTTTTTAGTGATTATCTTGAATATTATTGAAGATAAAGATAGAAAAAAGGTTCAGCGAAGTAAGATCTACAAAAAAGTTTATGTGACCAAAATTGTAAATTGACCTCTTTTAAGGAGTTATTGCCCTTTACAGACAATTTTTCACACTTTGTTCATCTAGTTTGCTTGCCTTACTTTAAAAAATCTTCTGCTTTGAAACTACTGAATTTTTTTGAGCCAAACTAGGGCTGAATGAGTTTCAGAGTATTTAGTATAAATTTTGTATTTTATTTCCTTGCACGTCAAGAAACATAGCCACTATGGCTATAATGGAACATAGGGGTAAAATGCATTTTTTTTGCTTTTCAAGAAAATATGACAGATACAAAGAACATTTAAATGGCATTTTTAAGCCACTCATTAATAAATATTGAAAAGCAAAAATAATCATTGATGAAAGATTTTCAGCAAAATGTTACAAGTGAGCGATTAGAGCTCTTGAGAGCCTCTTGTTTTAAGATATAGATGGGAGAGCTATCTTTTTAAAAGTTTGAAATTTTTTGGAGATAATTTATTGTAATATTGTCTATCTGTTCGTCCCCTCTTACGCTCTTTATACATGTACTTGGATTTCAGGATTTTATATGCAGAATAGCTTTGACAGGCTCAGCTAATTCTAAATGGTCTGAAATTTTTTAGAGTAATTTTGACCACTTAACACCTAGATAAATATAAGATGAGGAGATTTGGTATGATTGCCAAATGAAGTAGAATTAACTTAAGGACACCACATGTTGTCATTGTATAGCCTTCCACAATGCAGAGCAAAATATAGACTGATTTATTACAAAACAATAAAAGAAAAACAAATTTAACAGACATAAACCAACAGCAACCATTGAGTTACAGGCATCTGACTTTGAACAGGCACATATATAACATGGTTTTACTCTTTGTTGAAGGCCTTCAGTGACCTTTAATTTCTGTGTCATTTGGTCTCTTGTGGAGAGTTGTCTCATTGGCAATCATACCACATCTTCTTACTTTTGTACATGTACATATATATAGAATTAAGCAGGGTTAAACAGATACAGTTCAGTTTACGCCACTATAGAATTACTTTTCCACAGTTGTGAATAGTAAATTAAACTCAGATTTTTAAAATATTATGAAATTTTATGATTGAAAGATAGCAAAATTCCTATTTTTCCACAAATAGTTTCAAATTTTCATATTTTGCAACATATTTCTTTTAATAAGAAATACTGTGCACCATGGCTTCCAAACGGTCATTTATTCCGGACTTGAAAATATTTCCTTGAAAAATGTCCGGCTGTCATCAGAAAATTTTGGAAGCCCTGGTCTGTCAGAAACAATTCACCTGAACTTGACCTCATTATATGGATCAGTATTCAAGGTTAGAGGTGCGTGATTTAATCCTTTTTTGTCGAGCCTGCCACTTCTGTTGAAGAAAGCCAGACACATGGATAGTCTGGCAGGTTTTATTGACCTTGACCTCATTTTCACAGTTCATTGCTCAGTGTTAAGTTTTTGTGTTTTGGTCTGTTTTTTTCGTAAACTGTAAGCAATAAGTCAACTATATTTGTTGTATGGAAGGATTGTAAGGTGTATATGTCTGTTTCACAGGTGTCATCTGACCTCAGTGGCGGATCCAGGGGGGGGGGGGGGGTTCCGGGGGTGGCGGCAGCGTCCACAAATATTCACTCTGTGGTTAAAGTTTTTGAAATTTTGATAACTTTCTTAAACTATCCTGGATTTCTACCAAACTTGGACAGAAGCTTGTTTATGATCATAAGATAGTATCCAGAAGTAAATTTTGTAAAAATAAAATTCCATTTTTTCTGTATTTTACTTATAAATGGACTTAGTTTTTCTGCCAGGAAACAACACATTCACTCTGTGGTTATAAAGTTTTTAAAATTTTAATAACTTTCTTATACTATTTTGGATTTGTACCATTTAACTTGGACAGAAGCTTGTTCATGATCAAAAGCTAGTATCTAGAAGGAAATTTTGTAAAAAAAATAAATCCATTTTTTCCGTATTTTACTTTTAAATGGACTTAGATTTTCTGCCAGGAAACAACATATTCACTCTGTGGTTAAAGTTTTTAAAATTTTAATAACTTTCTTATACTATTTTGGATTTGTACCAAACTTGGACAGAAGCTTGTTTATGATCAAATGATATAGTATCTAGAAGGAAATTTTGTTTTCTTCCAGTTAATGTTTTTGTCTCGCCTTGACAGAGTCAAAAAGCGAGACATAGGTATGCTGTTTCCAGCGTCATCGGCGGCCGCGGTGACAGCAACGGCGGCGTCAACAATGTATTAGTTTGTGATTAGGTCTAGTTCATGGTGAACCACTAGTGGTAGGTCAATGATATTTGGTATGCAGTTGTATTAGCATTGGCACATCTCATTACCATGAAGATTATTTGGCCCGCCCCCTCAGTCAAGGTCTATTGACTTTGAAACTTTTCATAGTTTACATGTATTAGTTTGTGATTAGGTCAATTTATGGGGAACCACTAGTGGTAGGTCAATGATATTTGGTTTGCAGTTGTATAAGCATTGGCATATCTCATTTCCATGGAGATTATTTGGCTCCACCCCCTTAGTCATGGTCTGTAGACTTTGAAAATTTTGCTAAGTTTACATGTATTAGTTTGTGATTAGGTCAGTTCAAGGGGAACCATTAGTGGTAGGCCAATGTTAATTGGTGTTCAGTTGTATAAGCATTAGCACATCTCATTTCCATGGAGAATATTTGGCGCCGCCCCCTCAGTCATGGTCTATTTACTTTGAAACTTTTGCTTAGTTTACATGTATTAGTTTGTGATTAGATCAGTTTAAGATGAACTGCTAATGTAAAGTCAATGATATTTGGTATGAACATTTATTGGCATTTGCAAGTATCGTTTCCATGGAGATTATATAGCCCCACCCCTGATCATGGTTCATTGACTTTGAAACTTTTACATAGTTTACAAGTTAATGTTTGTGTTTAGGTTTGTTTAAAGGGAACGACTTATAATAAGTCAATGGTGTTTGGTATGCAGTTGTATTAGCATTGGCACATCTCATTCCATGGAGATTGTTTAGCCATGTACTTTCAGTCATGGTTCATCGACTTTGAATATTTGCATAACTTACATGTTAAAGTATTACTTTTTAAATTTCAACATTTGTATTATCAAAATTACAAAAAGGCGAGACATATCTCTGTGATAACACTTTAATATTAAACATTTATTAGATTCATAAACCATCCTGGATTTTTACCAATCTTGGACAGAAGCTTCTTACAATCAAAAGATAGTATCAAGAGGAATATTTTTATTGATTTACTTAATTCCTCATTTTTGTTGAGCCTGAGGAACCCTTACAATTTTTTTCTAATACTATATGCAATAGGTCAACTATATTTGATGTATGAAAATTTTTTATGATCTACATGTCAGTCTCGCAGGTTTTATTTGACTTTGACCTCATTTTTCATGGTTCATTGCTCAGTGTTAAGTTTTTGTGTTTTGGTCTGTTTTTCTTGAACTATAAGAAATGCTTAGTAGGTCAACTATATTTGTTGTACGGAAGGATTGTACCTGGTTCATTGGTCAATGCTTAGTTTTCTTGGTTAAGTCTGTTTCTTAGAAACTATAGCAATAGGTCAACTATATTTGGTGAATTAAATGATTGTAAGGTGTACATGTATTTCTTATTATTGGTTAATCTGATCTTGGCCTCATTTTCTTGGATCATGTTAAGTTCATATGAAACTTGTAGTAAAGCTTTATGTTTAGGACTATCAACATAAAATCAATGGTTAATACAGAAGGCAAGACATTTCAGCGTGTGCACTCTTTTTCAGATATTATCAGTGGTGTATGAAATGATTGTAAGGGGTGCATGTCAGCTTGGCAGGTTTCATCCTTGACCTCTTTTTCATGGTTCAGTATTCAATGTTAAGGTTTTGTGTCTTTGTCAGTTTTTCAAATACTATAAGCAGTACCTCAACTATTAGTATATTTGGTGTATGGAATGGTTGTAAGGCTTACATGACTGTCTGGTAGGTATCATCTGACTTTGACCTCTCCTTCATGGTTAATTGGTCAATTGTTCAGTTTTTGTGTTTTGGTCTGTTTTTAAAATACTTAAAGCAGTAGGTCAACTGTATTTGATGTATAGAATGATTGTAAGGTGTACATATACAAAAGAGGATGTGGTATGATTGCCAATGAGTCAACTCTTCACAAGAGACCAAATGACACAGTAATTAACAGCTATAGGTCACAGAACAGCCTTCAACAATGAGCAAAGCCCATACTGCATAGTCAGATATAAAAGGCCCCGAAATCACAAATGTAAATCAATTCAAACGAGAAAACAAAGGCCTAATTAATGTACAAAAAAAATGAACGAACAACAAACAACAACCACTGAATTACTGGTTCCTGACTTGGGACAGGCACATACATACAGAATGTGGCAGGGTTAAACATGTTAGCGGGATCCTAGCCCTCATAAATTCATATATTTTAGAAATTCTTAAGAAAATCTGTTATATTATAGAAATGTTATTAACATCAACAATATTAAATGTTGTACTTAAAATTGAGAATGGAAATAGGGAATGTGTCAAAGAGACAACAACCCGACCATAGAGCAGACAACAACCGAAGGCCACCAATGGGTCTTCAATGCAGCGAGAAACTCCCACACCCGGAGGCATCCTTCAGCTGGCCCCTAAACAAATATGTATACTAGTTCAGTGATAATGGACGTCATACTTAACTCCAAATTATACACAAGAAACTAAAATTAAAAATGATACAAGACTAACAAAGGCCAGAGGCTCCTGACTTGGGACAGGCGCAAAAATGCGGCTGGGTTAAACATGTTTTTTGAGATCTCAACCCTCCCCCTATAACTCTAGCCAATGTAGAAAAAACAAACACACAGTAAAACTCAGTTTAAGAGTTGTCCGAGTCCGATGTCAGAATAGAAAAACAAAAGAAAATAAACAAAATGACAATAATACATAAATAACAACAGACTACTAGCAGTTACTGACATGCCAGCTCCAGACCTCAATTAAACTGAATGAAAGATTATGTCTTCATCATATGAATATCAGGCACAATCCCTCCTGTTAGGGGTTGAGTATTATACCATCATAAAATATATGAGAAGAACATAACCCGTGTCATGCCAACAACTGGTTTTAGAATAAATATGTTAAATTCCGATGCAAAGCCCCTATAAGTGAATCAATATTAAAGCCAAAGTATGCAATCTTTAATGACCTGACAACAGTATCATAACTATATCCCTTCTTATTAAGTCTGTAACTAAAGGTTTAACTATATTTGATTTATGCTTTTACATTAATATTTTAATTCCCTTATTGCTATAAAATTTATTATATGTTTTTTCTCATGGCAGCTCTAATATAAAAATGTATTTTTCTTTGAAGTTCATTATCTTCTTCATTTCTTAACACTTTTTATACACCTCTTTTTCTATAGCCATTATTATTATAGCTGGTCAGTGGTCATAAACCTATGAAAATGAGTCAATTATTTAACCACAGAGCACTACCCACAGGTTCTTATCCTGTGTATTTGATGAATAATTTTAAAACTAATTTTCATCAAAACTCATTAACAGGGCAAGATATGGAAATTTATTTTTCTTCTGTGGTTTTAGAATATTAAGTAACAAAATGAAAATGATATTTCGATAAACATGTTGTTGTCTTTGTATTAATTGTGTTCTCATAAACCATCAGATTAGTATGTACTGTACTGCAATAAAAAAAACATGAATCAATATCAGGGAACTTGAAGTAATTGAAAACCAATTCCGTATATATAGTTGGCTATAAAAGGGCCGGACATGTACAAACTTAATTAGGGTTCTGAAGAAATGTTCGATTGCCTATAATTGCCTACATCCACTTCATTTTAACTCTGACAGATAGTTGTCTCTGGCTGTCATTAGTCTGTAGGTTTGGTTTAAATTACTTCAAGTAATTAGTTCCCTGATATTGATTCATGTTTTTTTTATTGCAGTACAGTACATACTAATCTGATGGTACTAGTTCAAAACCCAAACTGCACTCTAACTTTACTTTGCCTCAACCAAGTGTTATGAAACTTATACACAATGCTTATTAACACCAAACACTGATCAAGTTTGGGTGTTGTCTCTTTCACCATTCTCATATTATGTTACTTTATTAATAAAAAAAATTGATAAATTTGAGATAAATTTACAAGCAGGGACATCTGTGTTTCATTGACACATTCTTGTTTTATTTATTACATGTTTTAGTGTATTAAAAGTAATTATACTACTTCCACCTTTCAAAATTCTAACAAAGCTCTACCTCTTTAATGGATAAATAAATGATACTAGTCAAGAACTCAACAGATTTTTTTTTTTCAGGTTCTCTGGTCGTTCGTACTTGTTGGCCACACACATGAAGATATTGATCCTGCTTTCAGCTAATATCAGAAAAAATAAGAACAAAGGATGCTGAAACTGTGCAGTCACTGTTCAGGATTATTCCAGATGTTCAAAAAGTGAAATTATAATACAATATATGTTACTGGTTAATTCCTATGATTAGTAATTTTAAACAACACACAGAGACTTTGCATTATTGTTTTACAAGAGCGACACCAAAAGATGCAGTCAACATTTATCATTTTTATCAAAATACACCCAGGACAAACCATGGATACACTTAGCTTGAAATTTGGTGCTTTCTTACCAAAATTGCCTGGACGTAAAAGAAATGAAGAACCTAAATTCATGACAACAATCAGGAGATACCAGAAGAACTAGTATAAATGGTTAAAGATGAAAGAATGCAGAATAAGGTACTGTCATATTCAGTCTTAATAAGAGTCCTGCTGCTTTATATATATATATATGCATTTTTTTATGCCCCATCGTAGCGGAGGGGGCATTAAGTTTTACCCTTGTATGTCTGTACGTAATTTGATATAAGAAGATGTGGTATGAGTGCCAATGAGACATTAACTCTCCATCACAATTTGTAAAAGAAAAACCATTATAGGTCAAAGTACGGTCTTCAACACGGAGCCTTGGCTCACACCGAACAGTTAGCTATAAAAGGCCCCAAAAATGACTAGTGTAAAACCATTCAAACGGGAAAACCAACGGTCTAATCTATATAAAAAATGAGAAACAAGAAACACTTATGAACCACATCAACAAACCACAACTACTGATCATCAGGTGCAAACAAATGCAGAGGGTTTAAACGTTTTAATAGGTACCAACCTTCACCCTTACCCGAAACAATAGTGTAACATCACAACATAGAAAGACACAGTATAAATGGAAAACAAATATTTTTTACAAAATAAATAATTTTGTTGTTCATAGTACGAGAAACAGAAGTAAAATTTTAAAGTCATACTAAATACTTATCAAAGCAGCTGGTATATTGCAAAAATATAGAAACATTGAATAACAAAAAACATTACGATTGTATCAACAGGTCAACATGAAAGTACGATTTGAGAGTACTCACAGTTACGTATACTGAAAGCTATTTAAACATGTTAAAAGCCAAAATTAATCAATTAATAATAAAAAAATCATGCATCAGAGACTAAAATCAACTAAAACACATCCCAGGGATTAAGTATTTAATATCATGGACAGTCAAAGAAGACAATTGACTTGTGCAATGCCAAAAATAAAAGTATCGACAGGCTGACTCACTAGGATAGTTATGTTAACCTCTATATAGAAAAAATTAATGTGGATGTGTATTTATACATCCCACTTAAAAAAAATACAAATTTAGTTGATGTTTTAATTTGCTGATGACAAAATCGTTATTTGTGCTAATGTAAACTATAATCAAAGATCTTAAATTACAACATTTGTAAGATACATGTAACCTTTACTAATAAGTTTGTTTAAAGGTTCGATGAGTTTACATAGATCACACAGTGATTTCCGTGCTTTTAGTACAATATTACTGTAAAATTTAGGACGTGAAATACCGTTTTTTATAAGTTTTCTACAGGAACAGCCAAATTTACTAATCAAATCTTTGTATCTATGAAAGAATTTATTAAAAGTTTTAAGTAATTTATGGTACTAAAGAAATCCCTGACTTAATAATTTACCAGTGTAAGTCTGTACGTCCCATTAATTGGTTTCTGTTCTCTAACTTTAGTTTGCCTCAACCAAATGTTATGAAACTTATACATTGCTTATTACCACAAACCACAAATCAAGTTTGAATTTTGGTAGCGTCACTTTTACCATTCTAGATCTAGAGTTATGCCTCTTTACAAATGGAAAAATTGCTGATTTTTTTTGTGTCCGTTCTCTAACTTTAGTTTGCCTGAACCAAATATTATGAAACTTATACACAATGCTTATTACCACAAAACAAAGATCAAGTTTGAATGTTGGTGGCCTCACTTTTACTGTTCTAGAGTTATGCTCCTTTACAAATAGAAAAATTGCCAAATTTTTATACGCCAGTTTACGGGACGTATTATGGTATACCATTGTTCGTCCATCCTTCTGTCGTGAACATGTCTGACAATCAAAAACGCTTGAACCAATTTACATGAAACTTTGGTGAATTAGTTATATCTATTGACGTGCGCTCCCTTTCGTTTTTTATAAATTTTAGATTTTAAGTTTCCAAGTTTTGGGGTTTTTTTCAATAAAAAGGGGGGAATTTCCAGTTTTCGGACAATAACTCAAAAAAAATTCACCAATTTGCAAGAAACTTTGGTGATTTGTTTATATCTATTGACATGATCTCCCTTTCCATTTTTATAAATTCAAGATTTTACGTACCCGAGTTATGGAGTTTTATTCATTAAAAAAGGGTGAATTTCCAGTTTTCGGACAATGACTCTAAATGCTTTCTGCAGTTTTCATGAAACTTTAGTGAATTGTTTATATCTATTGACTTAAGCTCCCTTTTGATTTTTATCAATTTTAGGTTTTAAGTTTTGGAGTTATGTGATTTTATTCATAAAAAGGGGGGATTTTCCTGTTTTCCGGCAATGCTTTGAGCAGTTATCATGAAACTTTGGTTACTGGTTGTATCTTTTAAGATAACCTCCCTTTAGTTTTTCATGAATTTCTGATATGACATTAAGAAGTTATTGATCTTTATTCTTTGAAAAAGTGATGGGCATATATCATGCACTCATGGTGCAGCTGTTTATTCATTTTAGTTCACTATAAACTTAAGTTTGCTTAATCAAATGTTCAAAAACTTATACACAATGCATATTACCACAAAACTCAGATCAAGTACTCATTTGGGTACTGTGTGTCACTTTTACCATTCTTGATTTATGACCCTTTAAAATGTTATATGCAAGCGGGGGCATCATCTAGATCTGTGTCCCATGGACACATTCCCCATTTATTTATTCACAGAATTTTGAAAGGAATAAATAATACATGATTTTCACATAGATAAAACATATTGTTACAAGAATGTATACCTGTTAAGAGCAGATGAAATGCAACTCAACAACAGAAAAATTAAATAAACAGCATAGATGCAGTTTTGACCTAGACTTGTATAAAAATAAGGAGATGGTGCATGATTGCCATTGAGACAACTATCCACCAAAGTTTGAATAAAGTGGATGTAAGCAGTTATAGGTAACTGTACAGACTTCTACAATGAGAAAAACCCATACTGTATAGTCGGCTATAAAAGGCCCCGAGAAATCTAACGGCCTAATTTATAACAAAACAAGTAGCGAAAATCAAATATATAACATACATATAAAACCAACGACTTCCATGGAAGTATTGGCTCCTGACTTGGGACAGGCACATAAAGAATGTGGCAGGTTAAACAAGTTTTTGAGTGCTCAACCCTACCCTAACCTCAGTCAGGGGTACTACTTGTAAAAGTAATTTTTATTTACTTGAAGAAGTAATTATAATATACTTATATAAGTAAATTTGTAGGATACTTATACAAGTGTATTTTATTTACTTGTATAAGTAAATTATTTTTTGGCCTAGTTATGTCCCTTAGACATTCAGATTTTTTTACTTATACAAGTAAAAAAGTCATCCTATCTTCTTTTCTTGAATTCTTAGTACTTCTTTGCTCTGACAGAATTTTGAATTGTCTGTCCTTTGCAGATGTCTTTACTATTCATTTAAGTGTAATTTCATGGACAATGAAAATCTCATTTGTCTGTTATCTTTAGAACACTGCTCATTTACAAGCCCCCAAGGAGCAAGTTTTGAAGGCCTTGCGCAAATACTTAAGATCTTTGCTCAATCAGTTTCTTTGTTGAATTAATGAGATGAAATATTGAACTCTTATCAAAAATTATGAGCTAACCTGAGAAAAATTGTTAAAGGCATGATTTTACATCTCAAAACTTGAGAATTTTTGTGGGATTGTAAAAAAAATTTAAATTTTTTAGAAAATTAAGGGGAGATTATTCAAACAATATAGTTAACTTGTATAAGTATATTTTATTTACTTCTTCAAGTAAATAAAGATAACTTGTACAAGTAGTACCCCTGACTGAACCTGGGACAGTGGTGTTACAGCACAACTTAAGAACAAACTATAAAAATCAGTTGAAAAGGTTTCATCATACTTTTATAGGTCAACTGTCTTGAAATGATTAACAAGTGATTGTAGAATTTAATAAACATCTCAATTGTCAATTGAAAAGCCAAAAACAAATAAACATCTACTATCGACATCAAATTCCCTAAAAACAAAAGCTTTAAGATACAACTTTAGGTGACAGGAAAAGTCTTGACTTTGGATAGGCACATGGACTTGCAGTAGTTTCTGAAAACTCAATATTGCTCCCCTTTTAAATCTTGATCAGTATTTGTAAAATGAAAAAAAGGTTACATAGAAGAATGCAGGTTGCCAGTAACATTCAATTGGAGAAAGGGAAAAGATTACTCAACTCTACACTGAAATAATTTTGAAAACTATTAATGGCTATACTATCTTTATTGTAAAAAAATGTTGGAAAAGTTATGTACCTTATGATCATTTTGATTGTGTGAAACGTCACACAAGGCAATCAAAATGTTCAGAGGGAGAAATGAAGTTTTGTTATAAATGTCAAGTGTGATAGTCTCAACCTATCAACATGTTCAAAATTGTTGACCTCACTATTAATATTTACATTTAGCATGTACAGTGGAATAGAATGTTTTTGTTATCTTTTATTAAATGTTATTTTACTTTGCTCTTATAGGCAGGATTGAAAGGAAGAAAGAACTAGTCATCAGTAAAGAAACAGATCAATTTATATAACATGTAATAATTCCATCTGAATATAACAAACATTGCACATGTTATGAAGATTTGTTCACATGTCTACTCTGATTTGTAGTTATGCATTTGTAATATTATATAGTACATGTATTTTATTTTAGAACAGTATTTTTTTTTTTGCTTTGGAGAACATCAAAGAAATTTAGAAAAATATAATTAAAGATAGTTTCTTCCATTTTTTCTGTGACAAAAAAAAATTGTGCAAATTAGGACAATGAAATGAGGCTATATTATTAAATATTTTTGAGTTTTATTTTTTTTTACATCCTATTTTAAAATTTCATTGGCATTTGAAGTAATGAGTTGAAACCAGTTTTTATCAATCATTTTTTTTTCAAGATGTACAAACAGTACAGTAGGTTAAGTCTTTGGTGTACATTAGTTTACTATGATGTTAAGGTCAAATAAACTTGAAACTTTGTACTTACAAGTGTTCATTATGAAGTCATTTTTGTAAAATAATTACAAATAAGTTACTGAACATGGAAATATGATTGTGGGAGCAGGGTATAATGTGTTATGGACACACATCTCAATCCCATAGAGCACCACCCTCTCAGTAACCTAATGGTATATATTGACTTTGAAAATTTCCTTAGTTTACACTGTAAGGTTTGTGATAAGTTCAGTTTAAGGAGAACCATTAATAGTATGTTAGGGATATTTTATTTGCAGTTGAATAAGCTTTTGGACAACGCATGTGCTTGGGGATTTTTTTTACCTTGAACCCTCAATCATGGTCTAATAACTTAGAATCTTTTGCAAAGTTTACATGTTAAAGTTTATGCTTAGGCCAGTTGAAAAGCGACCACTTATCAGAGGCGGATTTAGAGGGGGCCTGCCCCCCCTCCTTTGTGGGACAAATTTGGTTGATTATATAAAGGGAATCACTGAAGCATGACAAAAGAGATGCAGTAGAGAGCAACCTTTATATTTCTTAGAAAATACTTTTTTCAGAACTGTAATGAAAAGTATGCTTAAAACAAAATTCATATTTTTTTCAGTTAAACACATATTTTTTATGAATCATAATATTTCAACAAATGTTTGAAACAAATTAACATAAAAACTGTCTAAATGTATAAAAATTCTGTGTTGTAAAATCTTATCAATTTTGTTTTTCGGGATTTTTCCCAATATGTTTAAGAAATCTGTAGCATAATTTTTGCTTGTAGATTTTATTTCGGGATTTTTCCCGAAATGGGTAAAAAAATCTATGCAACAAGTGTGTGCTTGATAATAGATTTATATTTTCGGGATTTTACCCGAAATGTGAAAAGAAATTATTAGTCATGAGTTCTAGCATATACTTTGGGTTTTCGGGATAAATCCCGAAATATTTGAAGACATCTGTGTTATACATTTTGCACTTAGTTTATTTTTGTCGGGATTTTTCCCGAAATGTGTTTCAGATCTATTTGTCAAAATGCTTTGCCAACATATATGTTATAAATAATAATGTTGAAAATGATTTCGGGACATTTCCCGAATAAAAAGTTGTCACATACATCTTTACCACAAATATTTTGAAACTTTAATATATTTTGGGAAATTTCCCGAAAATTAAATGTAAGTTTTATCAATTAAATGAATAAAAACATGGAATATTGTAAAAATTGTGTGTTTCTTTATGAAATCTGCATTCATTTATGGTAAACATTGAAAAATATTATAAAAAGGAATAAAATGGATTTTACTCTTTTAAAATAGAGTCAGTTCTATGTTTTTTTGTACTTTTTATGGTTCAGGATTGGTTGTTTTTTATAAAATCAAAATAATATCTGAGATAATATACTTAAATGTTGTTCGTATTGTTTAAAATTACCAATTTTTCTTCTTTTGATAAAAAATAATGCAATGTTATTTTTAACTAGTTATTTCAAAGTTCTATCAGATTTTATTTGTAAGAATTTTGATAATGTAAGGAGAATAATACCTTTTTTTTTGTTTTGTGTCGAATACGAATGCAAAAATTTCTTTATATTGATAGAAATTATGAACCGTCATTTGATTTTGGTACATTTTGTACATCAGGATTGGTTGTTTTTCATTAAATATGCTGACTTTCAGGGAAAAGATACTAAATTTTTGTTCGCATTGCTTAAATATGCAAATATTTCTTCTTTTAAATCAGAAATAATGCAATCAGTCATTATAAATGCCTTAAGATAAGTAATTTTGTATAAAATGTGTATCATTGAAGGATAAATATGCAAAAATTTTTATTTTTGTTAGAAATCAATGCAATAATTTCTTTATTTTGATAGAAATTATGAACCGTCATTTGATTTTGGTTCTTTTTGTGCATCAGGATTGGTTGTTTTACATAAAAAATGCTGAATTTTAGGGAAAAGATACTTAATTTGTGTTTGCATTGCTAAAAAATGCAAATATTTCTTCTTTTATATCAGAAATAATTCAACGTCAATTGCAATCAGTCATAAGTAATGCATTCAGATAAGTACTTTTATATAAGATATGAATAATTTAAGGATAAATATACATAAACTTTTGTTTTTTTTAAATAAGAATTCAATAAGTTCTCTTTTTTAAAGGAAATTATTGAACACCTATGGCTTTTAGTACTTTTTATGGTTCAGGATTTGTTGTATTTCATAAAATATGTTGAATTTAAGGGAACAGATTGTAAATGTAATGTTCGCATTGCTTAAAAATACAAATATTTCTTCTTTTATATCAGAAATAATGCAACGTCAATTGCTATCAGTCATTATAAATGCCTTTAAATAAGTATTTTTTAATAAAATGAGAATAAATGAAGAATAAATATGCATAAACTTTTGTTTTTGTTGAACAAGAATGCAATAATTTCTTTATTTGAATAGTAATTATTGACTGCCATTAGATGTTTATACTTTCATAGCTTAGGTTTGATTATTTTTTCATAAAAGTAAAAGAAGATCATAAAAAATATCCTTAAATGTTGTTCGCATTGTTTAAAGTTACCAATTTCTCTTGTTTTGTTAAAAAATAATACAATGTTATTTGTAACTAGTTATTTCAAAGGCTTCAAGATTATTTTTTTATCGGAACTTTAATATTGTAAGTATAATAAGGCTTAAACTTTTGTTGGTGTTGAAAACGAATGCAATAATATCTTCATTTTGATAGAAATAATGAATCACCATTTGATTTCAGTACTTTATGTACATCAGGATTGGTTGCATTTCATAAAATATGTTAAATTTAAGGAATCGGATACTGAATTTAATATTCGCATTACATAAAAATACAAATATTTCTTCTTTTATATCAGAAATAGTGCAATGCAATTGCTATCAGTCATTATAAATGCCTTTAGATAAGTATTTTTTAATAAAATGTGAATAAAGAAGGAAAAATATGCATAAACTTTTGTTTTTGTTGAAATAGAATGCAATAATTCCTTTGTTTGAATGGAAATCATTGACCGTCATTGGATTTTTGTACTTTTTATAACTTAGGATTGATTATTTTTTATTTAATAAAAGACTATCAGAAAAAATATACTATAATGTTGTTCTCGTTGTTTAAAATTACCAATATTATTTTATTTTTAAGAGAATTTGCAGCATTTTTATTTGTCATTTGTTATTTTAATGGCTTCGAGATAAGTTTGTTTAAAGAATTTTAAGATTATAAGGATAAAATACTTAAAAATATTTAAAAATAATACATCGAAATTTGCAATAAATGATCATTTCATTTTATTTTAAAGAGCATTTTCGGAAAATAATAAAATCACTGAAAATCGCGATAAACACCGTTTTAGAGATGTCCGGGTTTGAAAAAAAAAAAAACGAAAATGACCATTCTTTAATAGTAATATTTAAATTAAGTTTTATATGCATATTTTTTTTCTTTTTAAATTCTTAAAACTATGCTAAATAATTAAAAATAAAAAAAGATGTTGATCATTTGTACTTGAATGTTTTTTTAATAGTAATATTTAAATTACATGAAACGAAACTAAGATTTCGTAATTTGTATTAGTTTATTATGTGACGTAGTAGAGTTCAATCCGTCAGAAAGGTCGATCGGTCCTATCCGTCCGATCCGGCCGATCAGTCAAATACTGATACTATAAGTCTGACGGATTTGTGACGTGAGTTTGACGCGAACTTGACTGATCGGTGACTGATCAATGACCGCTGATTGATCGCTAAAACAGTAACGCCTAAGGTTGCAAGTACTGTACATGTAACATGATACATGTAACATGGGTATCTTAACTCACTTGCAAAACCTTCTAATTAAGAAAAGGCTTTAATTTTAAAAGACATCAACACAATAATTCAAGACTGAGAAACAATAGATTGTATAATTTTGTTTGTAAAATTGTTCTCTGTACATTCACATTTTGAAAAGCAACCGGATAAACCAACTAAAACTAAACGCATAAAGGTACTTTTAAAAAAATGATCATTTGAACGTATTAACCAAAATTATATCAATTCAGCTCTTATGTCCCATGCACATAACATATAAAAAGGTCATGTGTCATCTGTTTAAACTGTTAAGATAAATAAAACATGCTTTAACAAGAAAAACCTCAGAAAATTTGTTGTACGATTTAGTTTTTTATTTTACCTGTTTACTATGAATACGTGGAAAAATCTTGGCCTAATTTATAAAACAGTATTCGAAAATTTTAAACCTTGACACATTAAATGCATCTTTTTAAAGTATTGATGTTTATATTGCTTATTCCAGAACCAGCATTAAATTCTCAAAGATGATATATATTAAACAGAGTTTGATATTCTTCAATAACTAAACTTTGACAAATTTAAAAGCCTTAGTCATTCTCGATCTGTGAACTTTTGGCAGAGTGCATATTCGCATGTCTTAAGACGCATGCATAGCAGGAGTCGTTTACCCTGCCTAAGCACCCGGTATTGCTTCTTTTGAATTCATGCGATTCTTTCAGTGTGTGTTTGTTAGTTCTAATATTTAAATAAATATATATATTTGTCGTTTGAATTTCTTATTTCTACTTCAAAAGTTATTTAAAGTTAACTTTAGAAAATTTCAGCAGATCTGCAAGTTAACTTAGATCTGATTTTTTAGGACTGCCGAAGAAAAGACCTGTTTACAGGTCAGCTTGACCCGACATGTGGACAAGACACCTTTACCAGACTAGACTTGTGAACAGGTTTACTTTTAACGTGTCCTATGGACAAGTCTGCTATTTGAGAGACCAGTCAAGTCATTCATAAGGTCAGGTCTGCTTGTTAGTGGTCCTATAGATACGTCTTTTTTCTACCAAATTTGTTGTTACATGCATGGGATGATAATCAAATGCTATTTATTAATCAAAGCAGTCCTGTTTACTACTTAACTTTGGATCATGTTAACTTTATCTTTGAGCAGACCAGACCAATGTTAACTTTTATTAGAACAGGACTGGTTCGGACAGAGCAGTCCAGATAAGGGACTGCTTTTAAAAGCAGACCTCCTGGTCACAAGTTAAATTGTGTGAGCGACTGGTTGTTACAAAGTCAAATTTGTCCAGAGTTAACTTCAATATTTGACCTGTCATAAAGTTAACTTTTCGGGGAATCATAATAACAGTTCTAGGACAAATTCTGCCCTACGACCGGTTGTAGCAGTCATAAATCTTGTCTCGAGCTAAAGTTTGGTCATCAAGTTAACTAGCTGTACAGGTTAGGACTGCATCCATCTGCACTTGGCCTCGACCTCATTTCGTGGATTATTGATCAAGGTTATTTTTTTCTAGTCAAGTCAGTTACTCAGTATTAAGTAGAAGGTGCAGTTTATACATATATAAATATAGGAAACAGTATTTTACCGATGTTAGCATCTCTAAAATCGATTAAGAAGACAAATCAAGGTTACAAACAAAAACTGAGGTAATCGCATGAACTTCAAATGGAGCCAGACCGGGTTCGTCAAATACCATGAGCCAAACATGACGTCGATGATGAATCCAGATCAAAATTATTAAGACCGGGTCAAGCGTATTTGAGGTCACAAAGTCGTGATATGAAAAAGCTGAGTAGAGTTATATAGGCCTATGGATCTCGAACTGAAGGCGCATGCATACGACTCCAAATAAGTCGAATTCATTTTTTGAATGATAATAATGTTTCATCGAAGTTTTTTAACTTACCTTGTAACAACTCTGAACCACATTTGCTTTTAAAAAATAAGCATTGTGAGAAATTCCGTTATTGTTTGAAATATACAAATTTTAATATTAAAAATTAAACTTCATTGTGCTATAAAATGAATTACTGAATGGCAACGACAATTATTACACTTCAAGAAGTTAGCGATGTCTCATCTCCGTATGATACGAACTGGCCCGTTATTGATGTTTCAATTGGGATGATTAAACGCCATACGATGGTTACTTTTGTTTAACCTTCGCCGTGACGTCAGTCTATTCATTTATTATGGTCTCCTTTTCTAGAATTAACGCTTTTCAAATATGTCGCTGAAATGGACTCACCAAATTACATTCAATTGTTACCTTTGTTTGCCAATTTTCATTAAGTTTGAATTGGCTAATTTACTGCTTTCTGTTCACTAATGGAATTAATTTAAAAATTTACCTTTAACTTTTGTAATTTTTATATGCCTTTACTGGGAA